AAGTAACAATAGTCATTGAAAATTCTGAAGAAAAGTTAAATATGATTACATACAGCACAATTATTTATACAAAGGTTTGCATTACACTTATAGTTTTCATGGTAATGGTTAATTACCATTAAATTAAGCAACAACTGCGACAAATGGAAGTTAACTGTTTAATGTTGAAAAAACAAAAATCATAATATTTAATAAAGGTGGCAGAACTTTACACCACTATAAGTTTAACTTCAGAATTTCAATGTTGAAGTAACGACGGAGTAATCTTATCTCTGTAAAACTTTCAACCCATCTGGTTCTTTTACATCAGCAATGAAAATAGAACAGTGCGTGTAGTAATGCGAAATGGAAAAGAAGATCAATAAACGGATATCTAACAAAGGGAATATGAAAATTAACAGCACATTCTCAGCCACTGTCATGAAAAATGAAAATCAATAAATGGATATCTAACATTGATAATGTACACTATGAACTGCGAGCAACTCATGCGAAATGGAAAGGAAATCCATAAGAGGATGTCTATTACATGGACGCAAATATTATGAAACATAAACAACACATTCAGTGAATCAAAGGATTGAAAAACAATAGAAAGGTAGGAAGCGAATACAACATTATAAACAATGATAGAGAATCAGTTCAGTCAGGCAAATGAATAAATTAAAAGATAAAGCCCTTTTTAAAGTGTTTTTTTTTTTCAAAATTAGGAATACTCTATCGTTCACGTCTGCCAATAGAGCATTTCAATTAGGCCTATCTAGAAGCTTAATACACCCAATAGTGATCTAATGATCTTCTGGTATCCGGAGTAGAATCAATCAAAGAAACAGATATTTGGCGAAGACCTTCTATTTTAAACAATAGGAACTTTTAAGTAAAAGTCCTATCTAAAATACAATTTATAACGATCAATGGCTTAATGCCATACAAAATTACCAACCAAAACTACGTTCCTATTGTACATATAAAAGGTCTTTCACAATGGAAAACTACTGTTTTATAAAAGGAATCAGAGATCGTATTTAAGTAAACAAAGAGTTAGTGCTCACATACTCAAAATTGAGAGAGGGCGACACACAAACCCGAAAACAGAAGTTGAAAATCGATTGTGTAGGCCTACCCTATGTAAAATTGGAGAAGTCGAAGATTAGTTTCACTTTTTTAAACTGCCCCATTTATGACGATCTCAGAAGTAAACTATACACAAATTTATTATTCTTTGAATGTTTTGAAAATATGTAAAAAAAATGAGAAATTCATTTATACCATGGGAGCTAATGAGTTATATGTTATTAAGCCGGTCATGGAGTATGTACGGTCAGCGTTCGACAGGCGCGCTGCTCAGTTCAGCCGAGAGTTAAACATATGGAACGTACTGGAGAGATACTCAACTTGACACCGTGGCAAATTTAAAATACTGTTTAATTACTGTCTCTTATACACATCTAGATGTGTATAAGAGACAGGAACCAAAGGTTGTGAGTTTGAATTGCGCCTTTGTGTTT